CCTACATAAATTTGTATTTAAATTATTCATCCATTTTATTTTGATTTTAATTTTCTAACTGTTTTAACAAATATTATTTAGCAGATTAGATGTTTTTGAGCATATTTTTACATTTTTTGGAATATATTAATATTTTTGAGCATATTTTGTATACTTTTTTAGGCATATAATGACGTTTTATCAAGCATATTTTAAAGCATATTTCAACATTTTTTACAGCATATATTATAGTTTTTTGGTGCATGAACATCCGCCCTTTAGTTATAACATATAACTATATATTCGATTCTGAGGGATCTATTGGTTCTACAATGGTGTTTATTTTTTTTTCCTGTATACAAAATTTCTTCCAGAAGGAGTGCTTCGATTTCAACATGTATAGACATATAGTAACTTATCTTTTAGAAAATTGGATCAAGATTACTATCTTAGAGAGGTCATTTTTCGATTTTCTCAATAGTTATTTAATGCCACTGTAAAAACCACCAAAAAATTACGAAAAACCACTAAAAATGGGATTTTAATTTCTAACACTTTGTCTATCACCATAGAAAAAAATAAAAAATAAAAGTATTTCATTATTAATTTAACTAACATGCTATAATAAATAATAACAATATAAAATATCCAGACTGACAAACCGTCTTCGCTCAGAATCGTTTTTCTTATACAATGATATTATGATATTATATCATTGAGTTCAAATTTAATACAATCCATTATACATTGACCCACTTGTAACCTACTGTACAGCAGCAGAGTGACATCCACTCACCCGCTTTTTTTTAAATTTGTTTTGTACATATTATTATTTAATAATTAAAAACTCGACAATTTTATATCGTCTTATAAATAATATGGTATATTTTATTTAATAAAGAGTAAATTCGTCCCCCGTGGCTCTGTGTTCTGAAAACTATCTGGACCCTCCCCATGACAAATTCCTAAATACGCCACTGCCTTATGCATCAAATATAATCTATAGATTATAGTCAAGTAGATGCAAATTCTAAGTTTATACTGCTTATATGATAATATTATTCTGATGAATTTACAATTGATATTAATATGTATGTAGTATGTATGTTTTTGAAACTGATTAACGAAGTTAACTTCCTAGAACTTAACTAAACACATTGTCTTCAACATACAAAAATTTAGCCTTTAAAAACAATTTTAAAATTATTAATCATTTAGGATTATGTGTAGCTAATAATTTTATAAATTGCTTATAACTGTACAGATATTGGAAAAATGGATGGTATTAAATACTTAGGTTTGCACATTGATAGTCAATTTCAATGGAAAATACATAGTAATATTTATGTTAGATATTTTAATTATAAAATAACAGTGTTAATTTCTCTGTTATACCACACATATTAAAAATGTAGAAAACTTTCAATTCTACATTTCTTAAAATGACATGCTTTAAATTAAATTTGCCAATCTCTAGACCTCTAGAGTTCATTATTAATAAAAATAGGTACATTGTTTTTTAATTTTTAAATCATATTTTAAAAAAATGTAATAGTTAGGTACACTAGTTTATTTTTATACAATTTCTCTGATAATAATTATTATATTTTTGAATAAAGGTGTGAAGAATAATTTTTTATTAATAACAAATTTATTAAATAACATAGTTGAATAATAATACATTTTATAAATAAAATAATTCAATAACAATTAACTTAATAAATTATATTATTTAATAAAAGCTATCAAATATCAAGCAAAAATCTGTTGTCTCATAAAATCTCATACAATTAATTACTAATTAGGTAGGTATTCACAATTTATATATTATTTATTAATTCATATAAAACAAAAAGGTATAACACAATTTTGTAAAAAAAATACTATACAAAGTATGTTTGTCAATAGTATATTAGTATATTAATTTGTCTTGTTGGTTAGTTCTTTTTTTTTTTGTACTTTTTGGCAAGTCTAATAATGCTAATGAATTATGTTTAAAAGGTAATAAGTTTAGCCCATCTTCTTTATTTGCCATACCACTCATCTTTTCATAAACACTACCTATTTAGAACCTTTAATTGTTGTAACCATTCTGCAGAATATTCTCTTTGGTCTATTAAGTTAGTCAGGTCTGTATTTTTTTTCAGAATTTCTCTAATTTGTATTGGTAGGTTACTGTTACCTATTATCTATGTTTTCAGCAATTGTACTTTTATGTTCTTTTAATATTAATCTTGTAGTAGCAGCAGTTGTAGTATTTTGCATATTTAGATCAATTGTACTTATTTATTCTTGTGGGCTGGTTATTTAGTACCTATAGGGTCTGTAGATATATGTAAACATTATTTTTGAATTTATCAGGTAGATCATTAAATGAATAGTCTGGTACATATATGAACAATGCACATATATGTTTGTATGGCCAATGATACTTTTGAAAATCTAAACATGTAGGTACAACTTGGTATAGTAAAATCTACTACATATACATTGTGCCCATTTTCACTCTGTACTTCAAACTGGTGTTCTAATAATGTAAGTTTGTTTATTATTTTTTCACTGTATATAATTTGAGCTATGACAAAACGGTCATATATAGTAAAATGCTCTTGACAAAATTGATGGTTTTGAATGTGAACGTTCAACAAAATCTTTCAACATTGACTGAACATTTTTTACATTTGAAAATCCATTATTTACTAATTTGATATTTCGTCATAAACAGATTTATCTATTGAACTATTTAAAAGAGAAGTTTCTATTACGTTGTTGTGTACTGAAGGTAAGGAAACATGAATTAGATATTTATTTTTTGTAACAATTGGTTTTCCCATCTCAATATTCATTTTTATCTAAAATTTAAAAAAATTAAAATGTTTTAATAATTTATTTTATAATATAATAATAATAATTAATAATAACAGTTTATTGCAACATCAAAAATATACAAAGGTTAAATAGACTATAAATAAAAAGTTGCAACTCATCCTATAAGCAAATAAGCTTGAATGCGGATGAGTTGAGTTCTATTAAGGTATAATAAAAGTGCATAATGTAGGTAAACAAAAATAAAATTAAAATTACAAATTAATTATTCCAAAATACAAAAACAAAAAATCTAAGATAGAACACTAATAACATGATTTTTATATTGATTAAAATTAATAAATGAAAAAATATTTATATTATATACTCGTAATAATAAAACACCTTTAATAATAGTGCTTTGATTACCAAAATTTGTTATACTATGAGGAATATTTAAGTTGTTATTATTTTTTAGTCTTGTATGGTAATCATGCGATGGTTGATAATCTTTAATTAAGTTTTTAATTTTATACATATATAATAAAGTTTGACGTTCATATGATATCCTAAAAGGTTGAACATTAAGAATTGTAAATATTAAATTTGAAGGAAAAAATCTTGGTTTATTTAAAATAACTTTTATGAAAGATTTTATAGTTGTACATAATACATTAATATGACTGGAGTATGTACATCCCCAGACCAAAGAGCCATATAAATAAATTGATTGTGCTAAAGCTAAGAAAACAACCCTTAAGGTTTTTAGATCTAATATATTACGGAGTATTTTAAATTTATAAAATAATTTTCTAATTGAATTATTAACAGAAAAAATATGGTCAGCAAATTTTAGTCTGTGGTCAAAATTAATACCTAAGTATTTAATATTATACACTCTCTCTAAAGGAACACAATTACAGGGTAAATTTAAATATTTACAATTATAGGAATGCATACATAATTCAGAAGAACTATAAGACGTCAACATACGGTTAGAAATATTAAAGATAATATATTTAGATTTAGTTAAGTTCAATTGAAGATTATTATTGTCACACCAATTCTTAATCAAATCCAGACATATATTCGACTCTTGTATTAATTTATTATAATCTTTATTTTTTAAAAGTACGACTGTGTCATCAGCATAGCACATAACATCAGCATTTAGGTTCAAGTTTAAGAGTCCATTATTAAATGATAAACAATATTGGGCCAAGAACAGTACCTTGTGGCACCGAAAAACTATTGGTATTTATATCACTCAGGATTCCAATCAATTCGAACTTGTGGAGGTCTATTTGAAAATAAAAGATTTAATTAAGTTTAGGGCATTACCTCTTATGCCACAGAAATCAAGTTTTTTTGTTAATAACTCATGATTCACACTGTCAAACGCTTTTTTAAAGTCAAGAAAAATACCCAAAACTTTAAACTTTTTATCCAAATAATTATGAATGAAATGGGAAGTTTTAACTAATGGGTCAACTGTTGACATATTTGGACGAAAACCATATTGATTAGGTGAAAAAAATGAATGTTTATTCAGAAAAACCATAAGTCTTTTTTAATACATTTTTCAAAAATTTTAGAAATAGTTAAAGTTAATGCAATGGGTCTGTAGTTACTACATAATTTTTTGTCACCTGATTTAAAAAGAGGCAGAATAATAGTGTTTTTATATGTAGAAGGGTATTTTCCAGAGACCATAGAAAAATTAAAAATAATAGATAAAGGTATTGAAATTGTGTCAACAGTTTTTTTAAGAATAAAATTTGATAAGTCATTTGTAAAATAAGAAGTATTATCTGGTATTTGGCGAACGAAATTTGAAATTTCAATGGGGTATATCGGATCTAAAAAGATAGAATCACTAATATGACAGTTTTGGTTCAGTTCATTCCAATTTAATTTATTATAATTACTAGTATTAATCTCATCAGAAATATTTTTTCCAACATTAATATAATAATTATTTAATTCGTTTAATATTTCAGATTTGTTAGTTAAAGTAGTATTTGAAACAAAACTATTCAGAGAGTTTATTGGAGGTTCTTTTTTCTTAGTACTATAAGAGACTTCATTTATTAATTTCCATGTTGTTTTCATATTGGTTTTAGCTAGAGAGATTAGATTACTATAATATAAGCAACGCGCTTTTTTAATCAATAGGTTCAAAAGATTTCTATATTTGATATAATATTGTCTAAGATTTAAATCGAAGGTGAATTAAGTTTTTTCTTATAAAGTTTTTGTCTATTTTTAATTGAGATAAGAAGACCATTAGTTATCCAGATTTTAATTTTATGGGTTTTTTTAAGTTTACTATTTGAAATAATAGTAACCTTAGTAGCACTATTAATTAATTCATTTATTTTATAGTTAAATTTATCTACCAATATGTCCACATCATTATTAATTAATAAACTATGCCAATCAAATGAAGAAATTAAAATATTTAATGTATTGAAATTAATGATATTTTTTTTATTAAAATTATCGTGTCTCACATTATCCTTTAGATTGTCAATAAAATCTTCTTTAATAAAAAAAGCCAAACTAAAATGATCTGTAATATCTGTTTTAATAACAAAAGAATTTGCTTTAGATATATCAATATTTCTAATAAAAATATGATCAATACAAGACATTGTAGAATCAGTAACCCTAGTGTAAGAGTCAATACAAGAAATAAAATTATAAGATCCCAGAATATTTAAGTAGTTAGAAACATCACTTGAATTTTCAAGGATATTAATATTCATATCACCACAGATAATTACTTTATCATTAACAGAAATGTTGGACAGGTAAGAATCAATGCCCATTAAGAAATTATTTATAACTAAACTTGGTGATCTATAAATTCCTATTATTTTATAATTATGTAAATTGTATTTAAAATTAATTTCAATAGAATTGCAATCTGTTATAATATTAGTACTAAGGTCCATGATAAATACATTATTTCTAATAAAAATAGTAACACCATCAGATTTATTTAAAAAACCCAAGGAATGATATGTTTTATAACCATTAATATTAAAGTTTAAATCAACACTTAACCAGGTCTCAGTTAAAATAATAAAATCAAAAGTTTGCGGAATTGAATTTAGATAAACTAAGAGTTCATTAAAGTGCAAGTTAATACTACGAATATTACAATGAAAAATTGATAGGTCATTAGTATTGAAAACAATATCAGTTAAATTATCAGTTAGGTACCTTATTAGCGACATTGTTACTACAATTAATTTCATTAAGTATTTCAGGTTGGAAAAACATAGATAATAAAATATAAAAAATACAATATAATTACTAATAATAAGTTGTATGGAAAATTATTTCAAGTCAACACTGCTACTGTCCCATAGCTCAGATATCTTTTTGTTTTGATCCATTTTTTTCAAAGTTTCAAGGTTATGAATTTTGATGACTTGATCTCCTTCTCCTTTTCGCATGAAAATCCCTCTCATATTTGCCCAGGTATACTTGTAATTATAGTTTTTTGCGACTTCCTTAGAAAACCATAATAATTTCTTATTATGACTGGTTAATTGATCGTTAATAAATATTTTGTTTTCCGGGAAATTCCTATGAATTTCATTAGCTAATAATGGATTATTATTTTTGTATCGTAGTTTTATGTTTTTAACAAACAATTCTTTGATATTTTTTGAAATTAGGTGTGTATAAATTTTACCGTCCATGTTCTTGTATGCTTTACCTCTAAAAGCGTCAATGATATCACAATCTTGAACGTCACACTTTAATGATTGTGCTAATGTTTTGACAACCTCAGTAATATTTTCATTGGCAGTTTTTGGAATACCAGAAATCTCTATTTTATTAGAGAGCATTAATTGTTCATTATTGTTGATTACTGCCTTGAGAATATTGACTTCTTTTTCTAATTTATTACATTTATGTTCGTATCTAAGCATTTTATTTTCTATATCAGAAATCTTTTTAACAGCTTCTTCTAGCTTAACGTTTAAATCATCAATCGAATCAGAGCAAAAACCAATAGATTTCTCAATAGATTTAATATTATTAGAAAGTGATTCAATTTTATCCAATACAATATTTAGGTCAATTTTGACCGAATCAAGATTGTACTTTTCACTGCATTCATTGTTAAGATAACCGTCCAACTTTTTACGTGCTACAACATTTTTCAATTTGGAAGTACAAGTTTCGCATTTCCAGCTATCTTTTGAGTTATTAAAGTTAGTTAGTGTTTTAAGATTTGTACATGCAGTATGAAAATCATTGCTACATGTAGAACATATAGCTCTTTTATTCGGGGAAACATTTAGATTACACTTAGCACACGGCATCACTATATAATTATTAAGATAAGATATACCTATGAGTTAATCTATATAATGATACGCACACAAACGCACTATAGACCCGATAAAGAATTTAACGATAATAAATTGAGAAATATTCCGATAGTTAGGTACTAACACAACACGAATCAAACAACCTTCCAGCACGAAGGCTAGATTAGAACTGATTTTCAGATTCAACTCCATTATTTGTACCACATTTAATGTCAAATTCCAATTTAAAAAACTTATAGTACTTGTTTTTTAAGTTTACACTTAGTTGGTGAAGACTCTGTTATTGCATATTCGGGGAAATACATTAGTTTGTGTTCGAGCACCATCGACATTTGAAATTGTACGTTACTACGCGCCACTTTGGCCCGTGAGGTTGCCAGCACTGCTTACAGCTGACGAGACTAGTCGGTTGCCCGTTAGGCCGTTGATGTTCGGCCGGCGAGACTCCGTCGCCATCACTTCTGTTTTTCGTTCCGAATTGGTTTGTTCGAAGAGTTCATCCCGTCTTTAGTTTGAACGAGCAAAACCACGTGTTGGTACAAACGAAAAGTAAGTCTTCGATGATTTTGTTTTTGTATCCGTTCGCATCCGTCTCGCACCCAAAAGCGAGACACGGCAGATCAGCCATACAGCAGCTCAGCTACCCTGACGGCAGTTCGGCCATACTTGCAGTCAGTTACACCGATGGTCACACCGACCACATAGCAGTTCAGCTACCCAGACGGCAGATCAGCCATACAGCAGCTCAGCAGACACCAGCCAGTTCCGGAGTGGTTCAATGATTGTACCCCCCTTTGTCATTAATTATTTACATTGTGTCACCATAATATAAACCAATATTATAGCAATATAATTAAAGGTCTATTTATTTTAGAATCTTGTTGTGTTCACCTGGGAACGTCCAGTTGAGGTGAGGCTGCCGGCGTTAACTTATCATTAGTGCGCACGTGGCCAACAGTTTGTTTCTTGTCAAAACTGCTGAACAATTATATTTTTTTGTGCTATGCAAATGAAACTTTTTTTTTGTATCTGTAGTATGATCATTCTATTTTATAAAAATATAAATAATTTTAATAATATTATTAAGTTATAATATTCAATGTATGATACCTATCTAATATTGTAAATATTATTTTAACTCTACTTACAGTTAAATAATTGTATTTTGGTTTTTTCTCTGGCCCATTAATACATTCATAATTAATATGATCTTTTATGATGAATGGACAACCCATAAACTCAATGGGAATTTCTCCACGTTTTAAGGTAAATATGTACTTAGAACTTAGAAGCTTCCCCTATAAGTATATTTAAATAAGTTTATACTTAAATTTTTAAACTTAGCTAATTCGGAAGTAAGAATAAAAACTTATATTTTTTGTATAAACTGCTCAATAATTTGATTCATAGGCCTGAATTGTTGTCCATGATTTAAGATGTGTAGAATTATTTTCTTTGCCTGTAGCAACAACCAATTTAATATGTCTAATTATCTGATGTATCATATTGTAAAATGGGCCAAATTAATATACAATGTTGATTTATTTGTTAATTATTTAAGTGAGTTTAAGAGAAATATCAATTTAGTCATTTTATGATATGTTATTGTATATAAATATATATTTATATTGTTGATGGACTTTTAGTATGTATTAATTAACCTACTAAACTATACTATGTTAATTGATAATTACAAACCTACTTTAAAAACCAAAAGTATTGTAAAGTAGAGGTTTAGATTAGGTAAAAATACTTGAAAAAATATATAATTGAGCATTTATTCAAATACTTTTTAAAAGTATTCTTTACAATACTGGACTTGTTTGTAATTTCAAATAAAAATATTAATTACCATCATATTTTGTTGTTTTGCTTTTTACAAATCCATAACCTAATAAATTAATTTGTTTCAAAAAAAGCTCAAAATTATCTGTCTCTCCAATTGTTTTTGCATTGTAGATCTATGCATTAATTAATGATATTATATATTATAAAATAATATAATAAACCTATATGATAAAGATGATGGCAACATTAAAGATGCTTTTGAAGAACAGATATTTAATGAGTGTCATACACATTTAATAATTTGCAGCTTTGGTGAAATTTTGAAGTAGTGTATTGTGAATGATTTTTACCACAAAGATTGCTAGCTCCATCTACTCCTAAGCCAATTATATTTTCTGGAACAAGCTTCAATTCTTTTAAAAATTCCAAAGTTATATCTCTAAGTGCTTTAAGCAGTAGCACGCTCAATGATTACTAATCCGAGAAACTGATTCGTGATTTTTTGTATAGATTTACTAAAATACCTGACTTAGAAAGCCATGTATTTAGTAACAGAAATATCAGTAGACTCGTCGACTATAAGCGAATATCCGTGGTGGTCACCTATATCATTGACTAATTGTTCTGATAAAGCTGGCGAAATGGCATTCAAAATCAATTGAGAACATTTAGTTCGATGCATTTTAATATTTTCTAAAGTTGATCCTTTACCACACGATTTAAGAATTTCCCCTAAATGATCAATACTTCTAACTGAACTATGAGCTGCAATGTGTACAGCTAATTTCAGGTCACTTATTTTGCTTTCATTCGATTTGGTACTTATACCTACAAATACATAATATAAATATTAACCCCTCAAATATAAGTAGTAAATAGTAATAATAAATATTTCGGTACCAAATGAATTTAATGTCGGTTGTTTTTTAATATTTAAGCTGTTCTTTTTGCTGACATGTTTGGCCGTCTTTGAATGGTCGACCAAATCATTGTGGTGTGCTCTAAGCACAACATTACAATACGAACAGTATGCCTCTTTTAAATCATTCATATTGCTTTGCACGTCTGATGCCTTTTTAAGCCAGCCTATAAAAATGTAAGATACAATGCAGTAATACACACATAATATAATAAAATATGATAAACCGTAATATGTTCGTACATACCTTTAAATATCAACTCTTTTTCCCATTCAGTTTTATATTTTCTGCCATATTTAGCGTAGTTAGTTTTAGGCATTTTTAATTTAAAACTTAACACAAGACGTAAATAAACAACATACAATCGTCGTCCGTCGACAGGATACGACAATAATGAAGATTGAAGAATAAGAACAAGGATTTTGGTTCAGATGTTATAAATATAATAATATAAATCTTAATCTTTTTTCTATGATAAAAATTATGAGATATGAGCGTCGAGCTAGCCGCCGCATAATTATTGATAAGTGATTGCTATAATCATAATATTAACTATATTATGTCCTCGCCATCGAGATGAACGGTCGTCGGACAGTTCTTCCCACGGTCTTAGAAGATAAGGTCCGACGACTAGTATTTATCAGTTGTCCGCTTGTTGTAGCAAATTTAGTTCAATTGTTACTCACGAGCGCTGCAGGTTATACTTATTGAGGTTATGAACTTAATAATTTATTCTTATTTAATATTTTGGTAAGGTTCAAAATTCCGCCAAAAATCTAAAATCAGCTGTTGAACTCCATAGAAAATAATTAAAATATTTATTTTTATTTACCGAGTAATTCACAATTGTATACGCTGTTTTTAGTTTTATTACAATCAGTTTTTTGTCGCTAAAAAATAAATTATGCCCAACAATATTTGTTTATTTGGTTGTAATACCAACAAAAAATTATCCGTGTTTTCCATTCCAAAAGACGAACTTTTAAAAAACGAATGGTTAAAATCCCTCGATGTTCCACATTTGTATAATAATAATGTTGTCTGCGAAGAACATTTTCGTACAGACCAAATACAAAAAAAAAAGGATATATTTGATAAAGTGGGGAAAATTGTATGCTCAGTAAGTTATAGATGATATGTAGACTATACAGTGTGATTCCTTTTAAAGGTAACACTAAATAATTCTGTCCAGTGACATCGGATTAATATGCGGTTTTCGGGAGAGGATAGAGAATACATAAATACACATTTCTTGATGATTTTTACATTTTTAGATCTTTCCGTGTGCGCATGCGCAATACAACTTGCATTTTTTTAAATGGCAACAGGTGTTTCGAATACCAAATTCGGATAGACCGAATTTTTTTAAGTCGATTTGATCCTTTTTACCATAGCTCTAAAATCAAAATTGACCAAATGGCAACCAGTCAAAGTTTCGATTAAAATTATTGAATTTTTCAACAATCATACTAGAATTTTTTGAATTATTATACAATTTTAAGTATTTTTTTTTGTTTACGTAGGTTTGCAGATATTATTAAATCATTTTAATTTAATTTTGAGGAATTAATTAACCTCAATTAGACGTAAATGTTGGTTCATTTACTAATTACTAGGTAAGAAACGATTAAAATAATTAACACAATATTTTTATAATTTTAATCATTTCTATTATTTATTTGGATAAACAAATTTCTAATAACTATCTAATAAATTGTTCAAAATTTTGCCCATCATTCTCCATGCATGATTGAAATCGACGAATCACTTCTCTTTGAGTAGCTGCTAATATCTGTTCCTTTTTAAGTTCTGCGCAAGCAATTACAATTTTATTTTTTAGATCTTGAATACTTAAACGTGGAGTTGAATAAACTTCATTCTTCAAATGTCCCCACAGAAAAAAATCTAATGGTGTGAGATCTGGAGATCTTGGTGGCCAAGCTACTCCACCATATGTACCCATCCATCGATTGCCAAATTTATTTTGTAAATACTCTCTTACAACAATTGCATTGTGTGCAGGTGCTCCATCTTGTTGAAAAAATAAATTAGTTCTAGACTCTAATGGAATATCGTCCATGTATGTAGGTAAAACATCAGTTAAAAACTTCAAGTATCTTCTCCCAGTAAGTGTACCATCATAAAAATATGGCCCGAGAAGTCTCCCATCTAGTAGCCCACACCAAATGTTAGTTCCCCAAACTGTTTGGTGATTTGTATCAGTCGTCCAATATGGATTGTGATCAGCCCAATACCGGTTATTTTGTTTATTAATTATACCGTTGTTGGTAAACTTCGATTCGTCGGTCCAACAGATAAATCGTAGAAAATCGGGTTCGTCGTGTAATTGTATCATAAACCATGCAATAAATGTAAGTCTACGATTATAATCACCTGGTACCAACTTTTGTACTAAATCAGGCCTATACGGGTGCAATTTATTTTTTTTCAAAATTTTATGAACTTTTTTATAAGAAATTCCAATTTCGTTGCTTAAATGCTTAATTGCTTAAATTGCTTAATTGAGGTTAATTAATTCCTCAAAATTAAATTAAAATGATTTAATAATATCTGCAAACCTACGTAAACAAAAAAATACTTAAAATTGTATAATAATTCAAAAAATTCTAGTATGATTGTTGAAAAATTCAATAATTTCAATCGAAACTTTGACTGGTTGCCATTTGGTCAATTTTGATTTTAGAGCTATGGTAAAAAGGATCAAATCGACTTAAAAAAATTCGGTCTATCCGAATTTGGTATTCGAAACACCTGTTGCCGTTTAAAAAAATGCAAGTTGTATTGCGCATGCGCACACGGAAAGATCTAAAAATGTAAAAATCATCAAGAAATGTGTATTTATGTATTCCCTATCCCCTCCCGAAAACCGCATATTAATCCGATGTCACTGGACAGAATTATTTAGTGTTACCTTTAAAAGGAATCACACTGTATATAGTATTTATAAAGTATGCCTCATGAGTTATGAAAAATGATTGTTTAGGTTCCTTTGTTACGTCCTCGATTATTACCTAATGCAGTTCCTTTTAGGTTTTCTGCAAGGAAAAAATTGAAATTTGATAATACTGGAAAAAAAAGTAAAGTAATTTATAAAAATATAATTAGACATATTTATAATTAAGTATTACATTTTAATATTTATTAGATAGAGGAATTATTGATGGACTCTTGTAGTGGCAAAGTTGCAGAAACCAGTGTCCCTATATTTTCTGATATAGTAATTATAAATTAATAACTAATACATTTATTATTACAATTTTATATTTTGTTTAAATTAAACATTACATTTTAAGGATAACCAATGTGATCCTGATAAAAATATAGTGGATATAATGTTAGATCATAATTATTCTGCTAAGCCTAATGATAATTTACAATTAGATGATTCCGTTGCAAAGTACGATATTAATAAAACTATGATATACCAAGAAGTAAGAAATTTAAAACATTGATATAATCAAAATAATATATTTGTGTATAAATAATTACTTTCTTAAGTTTAAAATTTGAAATTAAATTTATTTATAGAATATGTCAACAACTATAAAAGAGCAAAGTAATTCAATTTCATTTAATGAATTGAATACTTTAGACTTGCAGCTACCCCCTAACTGGCACAAATATTTTTCTTATGAAAAGAAGTACTTTGGCATATCCGAAATTATTTTTGTAGAAAATGAAGGCAAGTTAAATTCCTTTTTACGGAAAAGTATAATTATAAGCCAAAGTTCAAAAATTACTTGCAATATTTTGGGGAAAAATATATGCAATGATAAATTAGTAAATGCCAATACTAATCTTGAAAGTATAGATCAGTTAAAAAGTTTAATTAAAGAAATGGCTTTATTGAAAATTTGTAAAGGATTGGATTTATTAAGCTCAAAAAAGTAACAAATAAAATAGTTAAGAAAAATAAAAATAAAATAATTTCATTTTTTTTTTCACAATTATTATAGATATGAATCATTTTTTTATATTTCTGAAAATATTGTAATTGATACCATGCAAATGAAACGACATAAGGAATGTTTGTTCTTAATTTCAAATAATTTACATTGTTTGTACTGTGCAAGAACCATACGAAATGTAAAGCAAAAACAAATTCGATCTACCTTACTATCATCTCCTAAACGAATTTCCCTAAAAACTACACCAAAAAGTAGAAAAAAATTGATAATTTTACAAAAAAGAAACAATGTTCTCAGAAGACAAAAGAATCGTTTTGAAAAACAAGTTAGTTCATTAAAAAAAAATTTACTTAACCTTCAATCTGAGTATAGTAATATTTCTCAAAAATCTATTGAAGAGAAACTGATTGAAATTAACTGCCCTGTAAATCAAACGACAATTGTTCAAGAAATATTTTCAGCAGCAAAAGTAATATGTTAATTTAAAATATCATCAGAATATTATTATTTTATTTTATTTTTTTGTTTTGTTAACTAGGTTAATAACTCTAAAGGTAGACGATATTCTGATGAATGGTTAATACTATGTATGTTGTTTCATATTCGATCCCCAAGTGGTTACAATTTTTGCTTGAAGAACAATATAATGCCATTGCCTAATGTTAGTACTATTAGGCGTTATCTCTCTTTAATAGATACATCTTGTGGATTTGATAATCAATTTTTTGCTCTATTTAAAAAACACCTAGAAAATAAAACCACCATGCAAAAACATGGTATTATTCTTGTAGATGAGATATCAGTAAGAGAAGCATTAACTGTATGCTCCAAAAGTCTTACTTATAAAGGCCTTGTAGATTTTGGTGATGATTATAAAGCAAGTGATATAAATGAAAAGGCAACAAGTTGCTTAGTATTTATGTTCCACCCACTTGCAGCCACTTATTCTCAACCTGTAGCCGTATTTGCATCTAGAGGACCTGTAGTCGGCACAGAGTTAGCAAAACTTATGTTGAAATGTATAATTCTGTTAGAGCAAGCAGGTGCTATTATACATGGATTTGTCTCTGATGGAGCTCAGACAAACAGAAAAATGTGGTCTGAACTTGGAATAAGTGGCCAAGTTAATTCCTTTAAAAATTGGTTTCAACACCCTCTTCATGAAAATCGGAAAATATATGCATTTTCTGATACACCTCATCTTTTTAAGAACGTCAGAAATAAATTATACAATGATAAAATATTGAAGGTAAGTTTGTATTATCTAATTATATACTGAAACTCGTTTTTTGTTTAGTTCTAACAATTAATCTAATATTTATTTATTTAAAATATTATTTTTGTCTTTCATACTAACTGAAACCCAGTAAAAGAATTCCTAAGAAATAAAAAAAAAATTATTAATCCTAATAAATTTAAGTCTATGTCAAGCACTGTGAATTTTGTTTTTTTATATATTATTCTGTATAGATTTGCATGTAGTTGTTCATTGGTGTTAAATAACTTAATATAGAAAATAGCAATGTGTAACTTTGTGTGTTATTATTTTAAATATTTGTTTTAACTAATTAATATTAATGTGTTTATTTGTTAAATTTGCATGATCAATGGGAGCTATATTTTGTACCAAGGTATGTATTTTATTTAATAATCATTAAAAAAGGAAATTAATTAATTCTATTACCTTTCTTTATGTAGATTAATGGTCAGTATATCCGTTGGAATCACATTAGTATTTTATACGAGCAAGATAGCAAATTACCAGGCAATTTAAGGGTTTGTCCAAAATTATCCAGAAACCATGTACATCTTAGTGTGTCTGATAAAATGAGAGTACGGCTAGCTACCCAAGTATACATTTTTTTTTTTTAATTCATCTATATAATAAAATAATAATTAATACTTAATAGGTACTTAAATATTATTATATATTTAATAAATATACGATACCCATAGATTTTTGGTTTGTCTTTATACATAATTTAGGTGTTGAGTAATTCTGTTGCTAATGGCTTATGGTTTTATAAAAAATATAATATTCCTGGCTTAAATGATTGTGATCCGACATCCGAATTTTGTCAAAAGTTTAATGATTGTTTTGACGCACTGAACAGAAAATTTGGTGCTGAAGGACTAAGAGTTAACGGCAAAGACTTTCAGGTAAAAATAAATATTTTATTATGTTCATACAAAAATTAGATTAACATACATTTGCATACCTAAATAATTAAATTTAAAATTTACAGTTTCTTCAATCATTTTTGGTTTGGTTGAATGAATGGCAAAAACAATATACAGATGGCGAGGTAAAAAAATCAGAATTTTATCTGATAGCACTGCTTGTGGGCTAAGAATTACAATTCAATCTACTCTTGATCTTTCTGGTTATTTAAAGTCATGCTGGAACTTTAAATATCTATTAACAGGGAAAATTAATCAAGACAAACTTGAAGTAAGTACAGTCAGAAATAAGTTGTAATAATCATTAATATTAAATAAAAATTATGTATTACCTAGTTGTTTTTTGGAATAATTCGGCAAGCTGCTGGCCAAAATGATCATCCTTCAACCCCTAATTTTCTCCAATTGTATAAGCTACTATCTGCTTACAGCATTTTAAAGCCTCCCAAGAGTGGAAATTGTACTGTACACGATGATTCTCCATTAAAACCAATTATATCTATGACAGATTTGAAAGATATTTATCAACCTAAAAAATATGACTTGGTTGAAAATTTAAAAACTAAATTAAACAATATCATTGAAGAAAAAGAATGGGAATTCAATGATGTTGTTGAACATGATTATACTAAACCGGAAATTATAGATTGTGTAATTTATTATTTAACAGGTCATATTTTATTCATATTAACAATTTTAATTGATGCACAAAATAAAAAGTTTTAAAATTATTTCAGGTTACCTATCAAAACAACTGTTGAAGTACATAAATGATTGTACAATTTGTAAATCAGCTTTTGCCACTCCACAGGTTTATTCTCAGCAATTGTCTGCGACACTGGTCAATATGAAAACAAAAGGGCGATTAATTCATCCAAATATATTTTTTTTCAATTTTATTCAGAAAATTGAAAAAAGTTTTATGAAACATTGTTCATCAACTCACGTTTTTGATCTAATAATTGATGATATGATCAATGAAAAGCACATAACAAATTTCCCTTGTGTCACTCATGGAGAAAATATTATTTCATTTGCTGTTATTTATTACGTGAGAATGAGAATGAGGCAATTCACATACCAGGAAAATAAAAATAAAAAAACGGAAAACAGAAATAAAAAAAAAGTTGCGAAGTTTTGTAAAACTTAAAACACCATGATGGGTGGTGAAAATACGTACCTATTTAAAATTATATACCTAATAAGAAACAACTGTATCAGTACTTATGGCATATTTTATTATTTTATATTTTAATGTTTTCAAATGTTCACGTTATTCAATATATTAATTATTAAAATGTCTTTAATAAATTATTACATTTCACAGTAAACTGGTCGGTTCATATGTTTATAGTTTATAGACATTAGAATATTAGATGATGTAGATCGATTACAATTCTTGTCTATGGATCGAGTATCGACTATTTGACTAGCACTACGGCAGTACGGCATGCCGCCTGCCGGCCCGGACATGACATGATCGTTTTTAATAATTAAATACATAACCTCAAATAAGTATAACTTGCAGCGCTAGTGAGTTAAATAGGAACTAAAACTGCCTCAACAAGCGGATACCACATAATGGGCGGGAGGGGGACAGTCGTCGACCTTATCTTCTAAGACCGTGGTTCTTCCCACGGGATATCAGACAGAAATATCTCATGGAATATCACACTTATCTCATGGAAAAAACGTAAAAATTGAGTTACGTCCTTCTTCGTTGGGAACGTCAGTATATAAAATAATGTCAAAAACTTTTAATTGAACTCGCCTAAATTCTCAAGTTTTTAATTCTTAAACCGCCCAATTTGTGGTATACCGCAAGTGGTAAATTACTCTCGCCAGATGGTCTTCTGAGAACGCCCAATTGGCGGGAAACCACCCAATCTGGCAACCCAAATCGAGGTTTACAAACAGCCGTCTACATATTTCGTAATATTTTAAATAAAAACTGAACACGTGCGCGACCGGTGGCGGGTTCAGCCGTCGGCGGCGGGATCTGCTGCCCTGTGTCAGGGATCTGCTCTCGAGCATAGGAATCTGCCAGTAGGATCTGATTCTAGAACTATCTTTTTTACTCTACTAATATATTTCATTCATGCAATGAAATTATTGTAATTTGTGGTGATACGGCGTGGTATCATCACTTCTCAATTTGACTATTTGTCGTGTTCATGTTTTTTTATACCAATGGTTGTCCCCGGGCGATCCGCTGTGAATTTAATATAATTTTTATGTTTCTTGCCATGACAAAATGCTATCAACGTAACTTATATAAATCGATTTCGATTTCGCATCTCTTCCGCATTTTGTCAAGAACTGTGACTTAAGCCGTTCTCACCAGCAAAAATAAAATAACATAACCGTAAAATAATTATTATAAAAAAAATATTTACCTATTATTTGTTTTCAAAATTCAAAAAAGAAAGTGCGTTTTCACTCCAAATTTAAAATCAGAATTTTCTTTTGTAAGGGATGCTGATGAAGTTGAAAAATCATTTCATACAATACTCAAATCGGTATTTTCTATAGAACTTGTTAAACTTTAATAGTTTTATTTGGTGGCAGAATGGCAGATAGGTACTACAAAAATGAAAAAAAAAAACATTTATTGACATAATTTGCATTTCATTTGTTTTATTAAATTATATTTAGTTAGGTACCTTATATAAAAATATAGGTATGTATAATCTTGAATAATCAAGTATCAAAATAAAATTGATTTTGTGTACCGGGTATTGGCTACTAATATAGTACTACATGTCCTATATGTACGATGTACCTATGTAAAAATAAGTCACGTATTATTATTATACTAGCTGCCCATGTGCATCGATTCCGGGCGTTGTGGAAGCTGCCTCCGGCGCCTTCGAGGTGGTCGAGTGAAAATCGTTTCAAGGGAAATTCGAAAAGAAATTAAACCGTACCGAAAACTGTGACTTGGAGTGTAGAGTGGTCTTTGCTCGTCTGGTGTAATACCGTGCCCCGCTGTATGCCCGGTTCTGTTTTGTTGACTGTATAAGAAATTAGAAATTGCGAATAATTGTAATCGAATGTCTAGCCATCAATCCTCGCTCTATGCAAATCTATGAGTTATAGGGCATGTGTGTATGGCGGATCGGATGCATGACCCGCGTCGTCGCATGCTAGATGCAAGTGAAAAAATGGGAAATTCAAAAAGAAATTAAGTCGTATAGCTGCCGCAATTTTTGAGTGTCTAGGAAGTCAGTCACCCGGCTCGATTTTGAGCATAGTGTAGTGATCCCTCACTAACGCTTATATTTTGAGTTTGACGACGTTGATGATTGAGTAGGAGAAAAGGTTGCAGAGTTACAAGTTACAACGTTATAATTTAAGTAATTTATTTTAAAGTTAATAATAATATAATGGTATTACATTTGAATATAGAAATTTGAGGACAGAGCGATAAGCGTCTGCCCGAGAGATTAGTGGTTAATACTAAGTACTTACAAGTATGTACGTCGTACTAGCACTGAGCTAATTCTAATTTAGATACAGACGGAGACTCGTATATATACAAAGTCTCCCTAGGTTATTAGGTACACGGTAGAGACTCGGAGGTGGATCAAAGGAATACCGGCGGCGGTATGCAAGGTACCGGCGTAAATGTTAAAAGTTGTCGAATAAACCTTGAGTTGTGAACTGGTTTATTTGGCAATATGTATTATTAGAAATCGTTATGCGATTTTTAAATATGTAATAAATCCTCAGGGCGTGGTATAGTCGTTGATCAATATATCATATAGTGCAAAGTCCTTATGATGTATAATTATAGGAAAGCGACTCTGTCGGTTTACTACAATAGTCTGGCAGGTAGGCAATCCGACTTCGTCGTGTAGCGGACGATGTCCAACGGTCTAGTAACACGATGAGGCATGCAATCCGAAAACTGTGACTGAGTATCTAGCGGTCTCTCCTCGTCTGGTGTAATACCGTGTCCAGCTGTATGCCCGGTTCTGTTTTGTTGACTGTATTAGAAATTAGGAATTGCGAATAATTGTAATCGAATGTCTAGCTATCAATCATCGCTGTATGCAAATCTATGAGTTATAGGGCATCTGTGTATGGCGGATTGGATACATGTCCCGTCGCATGCCCTGTTCTTTTGTGCGTGCAAAAAGGATAAATGCATAACGAAAACGGTAATTGTGTGTCTAGCTTTCAGTCCTCAACCGGTACAAATTTGTGCGTTTACTGGGCATACCTCCTAACGTCGATAGTCTGATATTGTATTATTGTAGGAGAAAATGTTAAGCCGAATGTCAATTGAATAAAAAGGTTAAGAGGACGCTACACACAGGTTTTCACCACCTAAAAACATGTTTTAGCAGAATTGCTCTCATTTGAGCTGTATTTATCGCACAAAAATCAAATTTCGACCACTTAAGGATAACAATATTATCTGGGTTCCTATGTTGGATAATAAGTATACGTCTACTCAGTCGTTTGTTTTAGACTGTAGAAAATTATAAAATGACCAAATATTTAACGTTTAATAAAAGTTACTATTTTGATGGTATCTAAAAGATCCAACATAGGAACACAGATAATGTTCTCACCTTCGTGTTTACGAAAGTAGGTTTTTGTATAATGATTGTAGCCCAAATGAGAGTGATTCTCCTGAGACATGTTTTTGAAAAAAAATTCGTATTTGTATAACCGTATAGTGCTGCTCTGGTGGCTATAGCGGTTGCGTACAAAACTGTACCGTCTGTACCCGTTACCCCCACACCGCGCACGATACCGCACCATAGATCGAATAGACCGGTTATCTATCGAAGGCGCGCACGGTTTATAAATATCCAAATTGTCGATACGAAAATAGCAATATTTCTGATAAATATTAATTATTTCCCACACAAGCCGATGTTTGAAGCCGGCTTTTATAAACCTATAAAGTATAAACCTAGTAATTTCAATTGGGAAAGTGTATAGGTATCTACAAATTCAACAGTGAACGTCGCGCTGTATTTTGGTACCTACGCTTGATTGGTTATTTATTTTATTTTATTGCAACTGTGCTGTGCAAATTGTTTTTTTATTATGTCTCCCTATAAAAAAGCTCGAACGGTTAAAAAAAATAACAAACAGCATAAATCGGAAATGAAGGCCCGATTACGCATGGCTAGAAAAAATCGGAGTAATATGTAAGTATATATTTACTATTAAGTTTTAAAATGCGAAAAAAAATAAAAACGAAAAAAATTTGAGAAAAACGGGAATTTTTACCAGTTTTCAACAAAATTTAATTATTAATTTGGCTGTTACTCAAAAACTTAAAACTGTAAATAATTTAAATCAAATGTTTATATTGGCATCACCTATACATGGTATAACTTTTGAAAGTTTTTGAGTTTTTTTGAGCTATTTATGGACACTTGAAATTTTCAATTTTTCTTAGTTTTTTGTTTTGAAATGTATATAAAAAAAATTTGGCTAGCCAAAAAATTTTGTACAATCAATACAAGGATCCTCGTAAGTTTTAATTATCATCATTAAATACAAAAATAAATATTGTAAGCAAAACTAATGGACAACCTATTGTACTAAATTTTCAATTCTTAGATATGAAAACAAAAAAATTTGCAAATATTCGTGATTTTGAAGATTTTTGTCAATATCTGAACTTCAAAAACTTATAAAAAGAAAATTGTGCCTATTTATTTTGATATTTTATTCACTCAAACATTAACTTATGATGTACAACCTTTTATTACATTTTCAAGTATTTTTACCAGGGTTGGAACGTATAATACAGCCTGTACAGTATAAAACACGTATTATACCTATACGTGCGTATAAAACGTAAAGTATAAAACTACTTAGTTTTATACGTTTTATACTGTATCTTTATTCTTCATTAATATTAGTAGGTATTTATTACTTATTAATTTATAATAACAAAAAATAAATTTGTTTTGTTTTTAATTTTGATTTCATTCTAAATTTAAGAACATTTTCCACTTTGATGTTGAAATTTATAAGTTTATAAGTTTTTATTTTAATATATTAAAATTTAAAATGTACAGTACCTATTATACTATTATCAGTATTATCACTATTATAAATTTTAAAGAAAACAATTTATACCTAATACTCCTTACGTCTTGGTCGTTATTAAGATTTAGG